CATTCTTTCTGTCCAGACACAGCCCTCATTACTCTAATCCTCTGACTTTGAATAGAGCTAATTTAACTTAATTTTATTCACCCAGGTCCTGAAGGCATTTGATTTTGCAACCCCTGCCAACTCTTGTCTACTTTCCACTCTGCAACTATAGGGTCAATATCAACTCCTGATATGGGCCCAGAAATAAATCAGCCTCAGCCACAAACTCTTTGCCATTAGGCAAAAAATCTCATTCCCTCTTTCTCCTGTTCTAATAGAACCATGGGAAAGGCCTTGCGCTGCAGAGGGGAGGGAAAGGCCTCCCTACGGACCTGCGTAGCCTCTAAACCCTGCCTTCCTCAGACTCTGATATTACCGGGAGGGTCAGAGCCAAAACTGCCCCACCTGTCCCGCCACCCTGTTCAACAGACAGTATAAAATGAGACAAACTGGTGGAACAAAGTAGATCAACTTTCCCTCCTAGTGGTACTGGTTTTTCTCCAGCACTTTGTTTCTGAATGGCCATGACCTCTGTGAGTGGGCATTTCCTCCCCCTTTCTCACCCCAATGTGTAGCTCAGGCACCCCATCTCTGAGCATCTCCTCACTGGGATGTCCCTATTCATTTCATCCACAAAGATATTTACCGGGTGCCAGACACTGTTCTGGGCTCTGGGGATTCAGTCTTGAATATACAGGCAAGGTCCTTGTCCTCTTGGAGCTCACTTCCTACTAAGAGATGCAGACACGAGTCAGGTGATCACACTAATAAGTACATAGTACAGTGCTGTCACAATGGAATGCTTGGGGACCGGTTGCCCCCTAGCAGTCTGTGGTCTCCATAAGTAGAATAACAATAGTACCAGACCCTGTTGGTATGTTTTACATATTAATTTACTTTATCTTCACAACGAGCCTACCAAGCAGATAGTGTCATTATCACCCTCATGGTACAGGAGAGATTTACAGCCACTGAGAAGTTAAATAACTTGCCCAAACTCACCCTGCCAGTCCGGGCGATGCTTCTGCTCTTGGTTGAGCGGCAGACTTGTCTACAGCCTGGTAAATTTCAAAGTGTGCCACAGTCCCCTGAGAACAAGACAGGGGGAACCAGGCTCAACCCCAGTAGGTGAGATTTAGGTTAGACACTAGAAAGAACTCCTTGGCAACAGTTATAAGTATACGAGAAAAGGAATTCCTTTTCTGGGAATTTGCTTCTCCCCTGAATTTCCTGTATGGCACAAATAGCATTGTAAAAAATAGAGGAATTAGTCTAGGAAAAAAAAAAAAGATCTCTCATAATTCTTCCTTGTGAATTGGGTTCCTTTTTCCATCTTTTTTTTTTTTTATAGCCCAATGTGAGTCTTGAGCTCATGACCCCGAGTTCAAGAATCAGATGCTTCACCAACTGAACCACTCAGGTACCCCTCTTCTTTCCATCTTTCTGGGCCAGGTGGAGGCTGTTAGACAGCTGGGTCCCTGAGACGGGAAGTGACTAGATCTGGCAAGGCAAGGATATGCTGACTAGCAGAGGTCAGCTCCCCTCTCCTTGCTTCCATAGGGGGTGGACACCCCTGTGTACCTCAGCAGGGGGACCTGGGCACCTTCTCACCCTTCCAGGCCACTCTGGATAAAGTAGGGCAGGGGTGAAGCTGTGGGGGATTACCTGCTATTTCAGAGAACAATCAAAACTGCATGTGATCTGTGTCCCTGGGGGAAAGAGGGAGGGGAGAAAGGAGCAGTCAGTAGGGATCAGGCAGAGCTAGGTGATTAAAATGGCTTCCACGTCAATGGGTAGGGTCAGAAGTTCCCATTGCCTCACCCCACCCTCATTTCAACACCTCCAGCCCTGAGCTGGCCGCATAATTCCTTGGGTATCCTGGGATGTCCCCTCTTGCTCTCGGGAGATCTGTGTCCTCCCCACCAAGGATTTCCCTTAGGTCTGATAAAATATTTTTCGCATGCCAAATGCTTCAAAGTTTGAAGTATTTTCCCCACATTCCCTCATCTTTTAAAATAAACTTTATTTCTTAGAGCAGTTTTAGGTTCACAGTGATACCGAGCAGATATTCCCTCATTTTTTTTTTTAAGATTTTATTTATTTATTTGACAGAGAGAGACACAGCAAGAGAGGGAACACAAGCAGGGAGAGTGGGGGAGGGAGAAGCAGGCTTCTGCAGAGCAGGGAGCCCGATGCGGAACTCGATCCCAGGACCCTGGGATCATGACCTGAGCCGAAGGCAGACGCTTAACGACTGAGCCACCCAGGCGCCTGATATTCCCTCATTTTTGCAGTCAAAATGCTCTACCACTGAGCTATACCCCCTATTCCCTCATTTTTAATTTGGTTCTCACATCAGCCCTACAAAGAGGCAGGACTGGTATTACTATCTCCACATGGACACTTAGATTACATTTAGAATCACACAGTAGCTAAGAGTCTGGTGTTAACTGAGGTCTTCTGATCTCTTAAGCCCCAGACACTTTCTCTTGGTTCCCTCAGAGTGCCTTCTGAGTCTTTCCAGATCTTTCCTCCCCCTAAGCATGGTAACCCGGCACCATCTCTCCTTCCTAGAGCTTAGAACCAAGTTTGAGAAGTTTCCCCAGTTTCCTTGTTGACTGCAGGGGACCACGGAGAGCCCATCTGTTTTCCCAGTGGAAGGCCCACGCTGGCAGAGGCACTGGACCCAGAACTTGTACAATGCCCTGATAAGCTTCTTAGAGGCAGGTATTAGCAGGGATCGGATATTCTTCCCCTGAGATGCCCTTCACACCCGACCCTGCCTTGAATTAGGATTCCACAGGAGAGCTGGGGACAGGAGAATGGGGTGTTTCCGGCTGTCCAGCTTCAGACTCACTCTTTGAGACCCTGGATTCTGACAAGTTTCCAGAACTAAGAAGACACTCAGATGTCCAGGTTTGAAGGTAAATGATGTGATTAGGTAGGAGGGGCCAGCTGGAGTGCCGGCTCAGCTCTGTTAGACAACGCAGGCAGGCCAGAAAGAAAGGGACCCTCCAAAGTTTCTTTAGGAGCGTCAAGCAGCTTGCTGCGGAGTTGAGTTTATGGCAAGGGACAGGGCCACTGGGAAGACGGTTACAGGAATCAAGGACAGAGAAGGAAATGTACTTATTCTGTACTTCTCCTTTTGCTTGTTCCTTTTTTGCTTTAAGACAAATGCATTTGCGTCTCTAATTAGTGCGGCCTGCTGGGAAGATCCGGGCCTTAGAAGGCTCACCTGCACAGCCGCTCAGGAGCTGTGTCCGGCTGAGCAAGTGTAGCTCCTCTCCGGATCTCAGCTTCTTCATGTCCCAAATGGGGAGTTACGCTAACTAGGGGCTGTAAGTCCTCCTACCTTTAATGACCGGAGACTCTAAGAGTCACTCATCTCACTTCTAATTATATTCCTTTAAATGCAAAACCAACCATTTCTAGTTATTGCTTTGTAATAATCTGTAGACACTAGAGATTTAATAAATACTTACTTGGGCAGGACCTCAGTGCCCTTCTTTATAAATTGAGGATTTTTTTCAGAGCCCTTCATGTTCTTCTTCCCCTCCTGAAGAATATAAAATTAAACCTTTATATAAAACTATAAAATTAAAATTTTATATAAAATGAACCCTTATGTAGCACTTGATTCTGTACAATGCTTTTCATAGACCTTATGTGTTTTTACTCTCTCAACATTCCTGTGACATAGGTATGTGTTGTTACTACTGTTATTTCTTTTTTTTTTTTAAAGATTGTATTTCTTTATTTGACAGAGAGAGAGAGAGACAGCACAAGTAGGCAGAGTGGCAGGCAGAGGGAGAGGGAGAAGCAGGGTTCCCGCTGAACAGGGAGCCCGATGTGGGGCTTGATTCCAGGACCCTGGGATCATGACCTGAGCTGAAGCCAGCCGCTTAACCGACAGCCACCCGGGCACCCCCTATTGTTATTTCTATTAAAATAAATTAAATTTAAATTTAAATTTAAAATATCGTGAAACGGCACAGGATAAAAAGGTTAAACAGTTAAACTGAACTTCAGGATATACTGAAAAGTAAGTCTTCCTCAGACCCCGACCTCAGTTTCCCTTCTCCAGATGTCCAAGGATCATCTTTGCATAATCAACCCATATGTTAACACGCTTATTTCACAGATGAGGCAGTGAGGTTCGCCTGTCCAGGGTGGCACAGCTGGAAAGCAGCAGAACTGGAAATCCAGGCCTTTGACTCCATTCTCCATGTTCTTCCCAACACACCACACTATCTGGGAAGCATCATGACTTTAGCTTTGTCCTCTCTGGGTGATACCATGGAATTGTTTTATTTTTTTATTTTTTTATTTATTTTATTTTATTTTATTTTATTTTTTGGTGCCGAAACCCGGGATCATGGAATTGTTTTAAATGGGTCCAAAACCAAAAAACCAAAAAACACCTACACGGAGTCTTGTTGTTTCTAGCACTGCCTTCTCCCGCTGCCTGTTTTTGTCTAAAGCTTAAAATCTTGTCTCCTTATCTTCCTCCTGCCTTTGACAAGGTGAGATCTGTGGCCTGGGGCACCAACTATGGCTGACTGGCTCCCAGCAACTCAGACTTGGACCTGAGGGGTGCTGGCAGAACTCTCGCAGGGATCCCAAAAAGGGTGAGGTAGACCCAGCTCAGGAACCTGGGCTGTTGGCATGCCTACACAGCACAGAGGACCTCTAATGCTTTTTCCTAAGAGCAGGCATTTTTCTCTGGAACAGGCAGTAGGGGTAGTTTTGTTCCAGCAGAAACAACTGCTTCCTAGCACAAAGGCCTCTGTATGAATTGTCATCACTCTTTTCTAGGTGATGGTTTGATGGCTCCCAGCTCTCCTCTTAGGGGCAAATAACCCTTTTTTTTTTTTTTTTACCCTTCCTCTAGGTTTGTGGATACCCCCTGGCTGGGCTTCATGGAGAAATCGTCACTGATCACCAACCTGAATCCCAAAACAGACCCCATCTTTCCATGGACAGAATGAGACGTCTTCTGTAACCAGGCATAACTGGCCATCATGGGGAAATTGATCAGAATGGGAACACGGGAGAGGCGGTTACTCCGGCCAAAGCGGCTTCATTGGAATCGCCTCTTCTTCCTGTTGGGAATGTTGATCATCGGTTCCACCTACCAGCACCTGAGGAGCCCCCGGGGCCTCCCCTCATTGTGGGCAGCAGTCTCCTCCCAACACCCTGTAAAACTGGCCAGCCGTGACCTCCCTAACAACAATATGATGATGGTGAGCAGTGACCCTCCAAGAGCTAGCTCTGAAATGGCGGGTGACACACGGGTGCCCCAAACTACAGTGGGCAGGGGTGAGGCAACACCTGGCATAACAATGGAGAATACCCCCAATCCACCCAGAAGGACAGCCAACATCACTCCAACAATACCCAAGAATAACCACAGCCTAACAGCTGCAGACACAGAAAGAATGAAGGAAGACACCACAATCACACCCAGTAGAGTACTGAATCACTACACCCCAACTTCAAGCAGGCCAACGGTAAAGAATCATACCCCAACAACATCAGCCAGGGTAGAAATGCAGAGCTCTCACCCAACTCAGGCTGGGAGAAAGGTGATGAAATACACCCCATCTCCACTTGGTAGACTAGTAAGCACTTATGTCCCATCCACACTCATGACAATGACAGAGAGCCATGGGATCACCCCCAGAACAACAGTGAAAGAGAGTGAAACTATGACAACCACCAAAATATTGGAGACCAACCCTTCTAAGAGAATAGTAGAGGAAACCACCCCAACTACTCTCAAGGGAATAATTAATAAAACGCCAACTTTCCTGATAAATGACATAGAAACAAACATCTTGACTTCTCCAAGGAGTATGACGGAAGAGAACACCCTGACTACCCCCAGAAGAGTGGACAATAACAGATTGACTAAGCCCTGGAGGTTAGTGGGAAAGAACAAGCTGACAATGCCCCTGGGAATGGGCCTGGAGCACACCACAGCCATCTCTGAGGGGCAAGTGACAATACGCACCACCACAGCAGGCAGTGGCCTAACAGAAACCAAAACCTCTACCGCTACTTGGAGTATTAGTAATCCCTTATCTGGAACCAGTGTGTCAACCAACGGAATGTCCTCCGCCACCTTCCGGGGGCTGGCAAAGAAATCTTCCATGGTACCCAGGCCCTCATCACCCTCCAAGGTCAGGGCAAATCCAGCCATCCAGGTCCGTCACTGTGTGTTTGTGGAGCCAGCCCCAGCGGTGCCCCCTGCTCCCTCCCCCAGCCTGACAACAGCTATGATCCCAGAGGCACCTAGTTCCAATCCCTCAGCGCTGCCTCCTGGCTGGCCAGACCTTCACTCCAAGGCAGAGTACCCCCCAGACTTGTTCAGCATAGAGGAGCGGCGACAGGGCTGGGTGGTCCTGCACATCTTTGGCATGATGTACGTGTTTGTGGCCTTGGCCATCGTGTGTGACGAGTACTTTGTCCCAGCCCTGGGTGTCATCACAGAGAAACTGCAGATCTCAGATGATGTGGCAGGTGCCACCTTCATGGCTGCTGGAGGCTCTGCCCCTGAGCTCTTCACCTCCCTCATTGGTGTCTTCATCTCTCACAGCAATGTGGGCATTGGTACCATCGTGGGCTCTGCTGTGTTCAACATCCTCTTTGTCATCGGCACCTGTGCCCTCTTCTCCCGGGAGATCCTCAATCTCACATGGTGGCCCTTATTCCGTGATGTCTCTTTCTACATCCTTGACCTGATAATGCTCATTCTCTTCTTCCTGGACAGCCTCATTACCTGGTGGGAAAGCCTGCTGCTACTGCTGGCCTATGCTTTATATGTGTTCACCATGAAGTGGAATAAGCAGCTCGAGGTCTGGGTGAAGGAGCAGCTCAGCAGGAGGCCAGTGGCCAAGGTCATGGCCCTAGGGGACCTCAGCAAGGTAAGGACAGGCTGGCTCAAATTTCTGTAGCCCCTTTGGGGTAAAAAGATGAGAGGAGAGACCAGTGACTGTAGAATGGAAATTGCTGGGTCAGACCTCAAGAGATGGGTGCTCTGCTTCCCTTTGCTATTCATTCAACATTTAAAGTCCTATTCTTTGCCAGGTGCTTGGCAAGAGTGACCTTGGCTCAGCTCCCAACCATCCAACGGTTATTATTACGATCCACCATTGGCAGTGGAAGAAACTGAGGCCTAGTGAATTTAAAGCACTGTTCAAGGTCACACAGCAAATAGGCAGTGGAGCCAAGATTTGAACTTGGGTTGGTCTCACTGGGTGTTTGGAAGTAACATTTGAGCTGGGCTTTGGAGAACATCCAAGGAGTTATCAGGCAGGGAAAAATGATAATCTCTTCCATGTGCATGGTGTTTAGGGTTCATCTAGCACCTTCTCTCTCATTTAATCCTGTTTGTTCACATTCCAGATTTGGAGCTAGTGGCTTGGATGGGGTCTGACAAGGTGGAAGTTTTTTGTCTTTGTTTTGATTTTGATATGTTGGATATATCCAATATATATTATATTTTGATATATATTTTGATATATTGGAGATGAGAGCTCCACTCATCCGCTGACAAGCTAGCCTTGGGTGCAGGACCCTCTCTCTTGTCGAGTGGAGGCCAGATATCAGAACTCCAACCCTGAGGTTTTCTCTTGGCTACAGAATTCTTTTTTAAGAATATCTCTGCCCCTGTGAGGGACCTTCCTTCTAAGTTCATTGCATGGCTCAATAACCCTCAAGATAAGATTAAAGTGGGGAAGTGATCTCTGAAAATTCATCTCAAAGTTTTTGTTCCTTGACTCCAAAGTGAGGTACCCTAGGGAACACAGACTCTGTTTCTTTCCTGCTTCTAAAGGGTGGGTTCGGGCAAAGGTTGGCTCTCAGCCTGCCTCTTTCATGTCTCAGAGAAGCCACTGGTGTGGGCAGAATTTTGCACGCAAAGAATGGAAGGACTTAGCTACTTAATCCAGAGCGGTTTTGATGAGTGGGCAGGATGGAGACCAAATTCAGCAGCGTGTCTGGGAGATATATGATGCAAGAGAGATGAAATGTACTTCCTTTCGGATTTTTGAGATGATGTGGTATTCTCGCTGGAGCATAGAAGTAGAAGTCAGGAAATCTGGGTTCTAATCTGATTCCGCCTCTAACTGACAGTGTGACCTTGGATGGGTCCCTCCCTTCCCTTCTCTGGCAGAAATGACAGAATCCAACTAGTCACCAAAAGGTCCTGTTTAACGATCATCGTCCAAGTGAGTTTCGTTCTAGCTGGCCCTACACAGTGGTTATTTGTCTGGTCTGGTCAACTGAGCACCACCTGCCATATTTGCAGATGGCCACCAAAGAAGAAATGTCCTATGCAAGGTTATACAGCCAGCAGGTATCAGAACCAGAATGGGAACCCAGTATCCGAATTCCCCATTCAGTGCTATTTCCTGTCAGCCTACTGCTCCTTGAAGCCAGAAGCTTCAAAAAGAAAGGGAGGCTCAGAGCATTACATCATTTAATATGAAGAAAGAAGGGCCTCCCTCCAAATGAAGTCCTCAGGGCCTTGCTGAGGGTCGCCATGAAGCCTGGCACTCTCCTCTGAGAAAAGCATCTAATGCCTTGGTGTACATCAGGCCAGCAATTTTCAAAATGCCTCTGATGTGCCTCCCGGTCATTATCAGTAATTCTGTTTTTATTTAAACTCTACAAATTCTAAATTTTCCATTTTGCGAGGACCAGACCATCAAAGCAGAGCTTGTGAAACAAGTGAAGCATAATCATGATTTCAAAGGAGAATTTATAACCTACTTAAGAGACTCTTCTAGGGCATTAGTAGCAGCTCTTGGCCAACCAGTGAGAGTGGTGCCGATCACAATTCTGTTCTTATTTGCTGAAACAAATCCAGTATGAATTTTAATTAACAGTGTTATTGAAAAAAAAAAACCAAAGAGGTTGAATTACTGGCTATACTTGAAAGTCAATCTGTATTTATTTAAAATTAAAAATCTAGGGGTGCCTGGCTGGCTCAGTCAGTGGAGCATGTGACTCTTGATCTTGGGGTTGTCAGTTTGAGCCCCATGTCTGGTGTAGAGATTGCTTAAAAATAAAATCTTTAAGGGACACTGGGGTGGCTCCCTTGGTCAGGTGTCTGCCTTCGGCTCAGGTCATGGTCCCAGGGTCCTGGGGTCAAGCCCCGCATCGGGCTCTCTGCTCAGTGGGGAGTCTGCTTCTGTCTCTGCCTGCCACTCCCCCTGCTTGTGCGTGCTCTCTCTCTCTCTCTCACAAATAAATAAATAAAATCTTTAATAAAAGAAAAAACCTATAGTTAGTACTTTCCAGCATTAACAACTCCTTACTAAAAATTAGTCCAAATAATAAGAACTGTGGCTATTTTGAAATGGTTTTTAAAATATCTGGATTTGGATTTCACCTCCGGTGTCTAAAAGCCAGAGAGAGAGAGGGAGAGATGGAGAGAGAGAGAGAGAGAACTGTCTTTGCTTGTATCTTTATGTCTGTGTTTTGCTGGCCACCACCTATGATCTGGTCAAGGAGAGATAGATTGTCCTGCACTTCACTGATAGACTGAGAGCAAGCCATTCAGTTTTGAATTCATGAAACAATTCTCTGGAAATCCAATTGTTGATCTAGTAAACTGTGTTGGCATTCATTTTTGCAGTTTGTGCAAGAGTGTGTCCTCACCCCTGTAAACTGTTTCACTTTAACATGAAAATAAACGTGCCTTACTCTCTCACTCCTGTTGATGTACTGATTCACACCTCTCCTTGATTAATGGTTCCCCTCTTTGAGCATCACCCCAGGAAAGCAGGGGGCCTGGGAAGCGGCTTATTCAATCAGCCATGCTCTGAAGTGAAGAAGTCAGAGAGAAGTGGGGCATAACCAGACCGAGTGGTAGGAACCAGGGAGGGAGGCTGGGGAGGCGAGGTCAGAGCCACGGGTGCTCGAGAAGTCTAAGCAGCAGGAAGAGAGATGGAGGACAGTGTGAGCCAGCTCCCTCTGGAGAGAAACAGGAACAGGAAAGACATCTGGGCCTCTCCCTTCCTCTGTTGCCAGCCTGGGGTGAGGTGTGGAGGGGTAGCTACAGCATCAGGCTCATCATTGCCACTGCTTGGGGAAACGCTCTTTGTGTCTCCCAAAGAGGTGAGCCTGGGCTCTCGTCTCCAGCAGGAGGTGCACAAGTATGTGGTTCAGTTTCCTCAGGAAACCCTAACAGTTCAGGGGCTCCACTGCAAACTGCCCCTGTTGCTCTGGGCAAGTCAGTGCAATTCAACAAACCTTTATCAGTAAGTGCTTAAATGAAAAGCAGTGTGGGGAAAAGATTGTGTCCCTTCCAGTAGAAGGGACGGGCACAGACAAGAGTAACTGCAATAGAACAAACCCTATACAAAGTGCTACGAAGTCACTTTACTTTCCTACCTTAGGTTGCTTATCTATGAAGGGAGTGGGACGATGATCTCACGTAGGGGTTGGCAGACTTCTACGGTAAAGGGCCAGACAGTGAATAGTTCAGGCTTTGCAGGCCATGCAGTCTCTGTCACAACTCAGCTCTGTTGTTGTAGCATGAAAGGCACCACAGACAATACACCAACAGACAGGAGCGGCCACATGCTGTTTTCCCAAGTACAACATCCTTTTTTTTTTTTTTTAAGATTTTATTTATTTATTTGACAGAGAGAGAGAGACAGTGAGAGAGGGAACACAAGCAGGGGGAGTGGGAGAGGGAGAAGCAGGCTTCCCACGGAGCAGGGAGCCCGATGTGGGACTCGATCCCAGGACCCTGGGATCACGACCTGAGCCGAAGGCAGACACTTAATGACTGAGCCACCCAGGCGCCCCCCAAGTACAACATCCTTGTAGGTCTTCTATCTGAACAACTTGGGGATGAGAGCAGCAGAGAATGATTCATTTTCTTCCTGAATATTTACCCAACTGATATCTGTAGAGTTTCTGAGCTGGAGGGCCTTTCACTTTACTTTTTATTCTGCTCTGACAACCTAGAATTGGGATAAAGGTTTTTTTTGGGGGGGGCGGAAATGATTCTAATCAGAATTCACTTAAGAGCATTTCTAGAAAAAATAAAATGGTGTAGCATCAGACATGGACACATAGTAACAATTTTAGAGTCTCTCTTTTGACACTGGCTGAAAAAAAAATCAAAGCTAAGCTATTTTAGATAACATTGGTCAAACTGGCATGTATTGGTTTGGGATGTCTTCTATGACCCCTATTATTGACTTGCTCTGAAACTTTATACCTGCATATAAAGTATACCTGAATATAAACTATACAACTCTCAGTGTATTTATTGTAGCCCCAAATGATAAATATCTGACTTGTCTTGACCATGCATAATCACAGAAAGTCAACAAACAGCAAAGCTGATGCACTGGCCTGGCTTAAAAAGCTTTATCTATCTGTGGTTGAAGCACCACAGGCCTTTCTTTATAGAGAGAGCTCCCAGCTTAGCTAGAAAGACCAGCCATCTGCATGAGATGCTGATTGGCAATATGGTCAGAGGGGCACCAGTGGTAAAAAGGGATCCAAGGGGGGAGGGGAACAAGCCTATTTTGGATCCTTTTGGGTCCCTATCCACATCATGCCCTCAAGAATACTTCAGAATGTGAAACTCTGGAGAAAAGTCTGCCATTCTTTCCTCATATGCATTGGGGGCTGTTTTTGGTTTGTCTGTTTTTTGTTTTGTTTTTCCCCAGCAAGGTTTTTTTTTAATTAAACCAACCATCATGACCCTCCAAGCAGACAAACCAGGTGCCTCCTAAGGGGGCCAGTCCTTCCCTTTCTAGTCAGGGTTGACATTTATTCCAAGGGCTTCTATCAGTGGCCTATATAGCCAGCTACCTACTGTGGAGACAGCAGGGCTGTGGACAGGAAGCCCTGTGAACAGGAAGGCCTCTCCAGCATCTGTGGACCCCACTCATGCTAG